TGTAGTTCTGATCTTTAGTTAATAGTTTGATTTGAAATGTTAGCCAAACAATTTAGTAAAATTACTGGCCGAGATTTAAGAGGGACCATTGTTCTGTTCACTGGTTTGGACATGCAAAATCTTAGAATATCAACAATTGTTACAGATAAAGAAAACTGAGTGAAAGATGAGCAAGAAACATATAGTTTTAAGAAGAGAGGGAAATTCAAAGTATTGAGCAAGGCAATAAAGCCACTAAGATGCAGTGAGTTTACCGAGTGTTATAGAATATAAGAAGAAAAAAAAAAACACTACTAAGGAGAAAGAACAAAACAGAAGATAATGATCGACGTTGCATTTAAATTTTTTAGGATCAAGGTTGAGTGGCAAGCAAGAAACCAAAAAAGTTCCACAAGCAAGAAGTACGATAGAAGAAACTATTAACATAGAACTTACAGCCATTTCAACAGTAAACCAGAAAAAAAAAAAAAACAAACTTTCAAATGGTAAATAAATAAATGCTTGATTTTTATTTTAACTGTTGTTGCAGAAATTTGATGAACAGACTATAAATAAATAACTTGATTGTATATTAATCATAGGTAGATAATTACATTTACAATGCATTTTTAGATCAGAAGCAAGTGTTTGCCAAATAGAAAGTAAACAGAAACCGGCAAAGTATACTGGCAAAACATCTTGAGATTTCAAGAAAAGAATATCTGAACATAAAAAAGACAACCACTGATAATTAAGCAAAACACTCGATTCTGAAAAATCAATACAACCAAAAATTTATGATCACAAGGTTTGAATAAAAAAATTGACTTGGATGAAAATGTATTTAAATGTGTGATAATCAAAGAGTCCCCTACAATTAATCAATGATAAGGATATTTCAGTTTATCATCTTTTAGTAAATTAGTGAACTGATGGGACAAAGTAAAAACAAAAAAAATTAAAACAAACAAAAAAAATTAAAACAAACAAAAAAAATTAAAACAAACAAAAAAATTAAAACAAAAAATAAAGAATAAAATAAACAACAAAAAAAAACAAACATGAAAATAAAAAAAAAAGGTTGAAATTAGTTAAAATCTTCCCTCATGATAGAATTAAAGTCAAAATCAAACATTCAGATGATTAACATGAATCATGTTTTGTCTTGCTGATGTAGATTTGGTCCTTGTGAAATAAAATTCTTTTTCTGATCACCTCAATTCATCAGAAGCCTACCTCAAAGTATTTCCAACTTGCCTGCTATATTTACCATTTTGTCACATTCTCATTCAATCTGACCAACTTTATAAAATGTAGATTTCCACCGAATCTAACTAGAAGGTGGTGCTCTCAATCAACAATTAAACATTTTTTTTAATAAAAATTTACTCACCATTCACTGAGCAGTGCCGGGCCACATCCTAAATACACAAAGCATTGCTTCTGTGGTTTCTGTAGCAAGTAGGTTTTTACAGGATGGAGTTTCTGCCCCCATGCCTAACTGGTTATCAACTAAGGCTGAAGGGCCTAGTTTGCCCTTCTATTTAACTCACAGCTGGGTAGCTGAGGGAGAAGAGAAGGGATGCATTCTTATCTTTCCCAGGGCTTTTTGCTTGAAAGTGAATGCAACAAACTCAACTAGAATTTGAACTTGGCTCACCAATTTCTCATTGCAAGCTACTAACCCTTATACAACTTGCACATCTCAATATAAATTTATACACCTCTAAATTACTACTTCCCTAAAATTTAATCCAGTCTACATATAGATATGTAAGCTGAGATGACAGAGAGATACCAGAACAAGTAATATTCTTATCCCTCTTAGAATCACAAAGCATTCTGTCATTACTGTTAAAGAGATGGCAATATTATAAAAACTATCTCACTTGTTGGATATTGTGGCATGAGGAGGGCTTCCTTACTTTCTTTCTTTCTATGTGCCATGTCCTTTCAGGACAAGGTCAATACATGGCTCCCCGCCTTCCTCTATCCCTTGCAGCTCTCAAAAAGTTCCTTCCCTCTGCTTCCTCACCCAGACCACGTTCTGTCATCCACTGTCCGCCAGGTATGTCATGCATTGTTTTCCCTTGTCTCCCTTTCCTATTTGACCTGGGAGTATCAGATTCTCCAGGCCCTCCTTCCTTATTATGTGTCTCAAAAACTTCAGCTGCCTCTTCCTCATATTAAGTATAAGCCTCCTCTTTGTTTGCAACCTCTCTAAGATCTCATCTTTGCTTTACATGCTCAGTCCATGATATCCTTAGCATCCTTCTGTAAAAACACATCTTCGTCGCCTCGAGTGTCTTTTTCATCTTCAAGGAAATTGTCCAACATTTGCTGCTGTAAAGAAGGACAGATGTCGTGTAACAGTTCAGTATTCTTTTCTTTATTACTAAAGATATCCTCCTGTCTCGCAGTACTTTGCCCAGCTTTTGGAATGTGTCCTTGCCCATCCCAATACGCTTACGGATCTCAGTGTCACACTTACCATCCTCTGTGAAGACACTCCCAGGTATTTAAACTTCAATGTCTGCTTGATTCTAGTGTTCCTGACCTTCAAATCACTTTTCAGGCTCATCATTTTACTGATGACCATGCACTCAGTCTTCTTGTAGTTTATGTTTAGTCCTTTCTTCTCACTCTCTGTTGCTACCTTCTGTAGGAGATTTTGTAATTTTATTTCTGTGTCTGCTATCAATACTGTGTCATCTGTGTAACTTATGTCATTATCATTGTAGCTGACAATGCTAAATCCCGTTAGGGTTTCCAATTCTTTCAGGATTGCCTTGCTGTATAGTTTGAATAGGTTGGGTGAGAAGACGCATCCTTGCCTTACGCCTCTTTCTATTTTTGTATATTCACTGAACTCGTTCCCTATGCACATGCATGCTGTTTGCTGCCAATGTAGGTTCACAATTATTCTGATATCTTTCCCGAATATATCGAGGTTGCTGAGCAGTTCCAACAGATTCTTGTGGTATACTTTGTCAAAGGCCTTTATGTAGTCTATGAAACATAGGTACACATCTTTCTGCATCTGTATCATTCTTTCTGATAACATTCTGAGCATGAATATTGCGTTCCTTGTTCCAGTGTCTTTAATGAACCCACACCGTTCTTGTCCTATCTCTGGGCTGATTCTGCTGTACACACTGTTCATTCCTTACTTTGCTCAATTCAGCAGTAGCAGCAACAGAAGTAATCAACATGGAATAACAGGAAGTCCCAGAACTCATAAAAACGCTGGCCAATCCTTATTCAGCTTCTTTTTCCACTCTTCTTTTTCAGTGGCCACTAACTTCAAAGCCCAGCTTGAAGGACTACTCACAACACTTGTTGCTGAAGACATGTGGCCTGTCCTGTCAGCTTGATCCAAGATTTCTCGTTCCTCGTTGGAACAAGTGGAACTCTACAAAACATCTACTCAAGGGAAGAACTTTGTTAACTGTAAACATTATTTTAGAAGAGAACAATTTCAGGAAAATGCAAGTAACATATTTGTAACATTAAAGAAACAAAACGAAGGCCAATGCAAATTGATCTGCAAGTCAAATATGAAATTAAAATAAAAATCAGACTTTTTTCTTTTACTTAATGTTCACCCAATACAAAACCCAAGAGCCACTCAAGGTAGAGGGTTACTGAATTAAATTGTATGGACATAAGAGGAGGAAGTAAGAAGTGAAGATTATGAGGATATGTAGGATAGATAATGGATGACCCAAGGCTTGAAGAAGTTAAGATTGTAGTGATCAGGGAAGCATCTTTTCAGGAGTTTGTTCCACAAAGTAGCTATTCTCAGAAGAAGCACTCTGAGTGGAACTTCTTTCTTACTAAAGGAATATAAAAAGGTATGAGGATGATTCAATACTGTCTGTGTATGTGGCATGTGGGTCCTAGTAGTAAAGGTAGAAACTAGTGAAAATGTAGCTCGTCTGAACATGTGTCATGGAAAAAGCAATAGTAATAGGCTTGTAATACTTTATCCATGGGAAAGGGGCTGTAAGGTTGAAAACATTTCATTACCCACGAGGCCGTGTAAACACTTTTGAACTTTGTCAAGCCTGGAAAGTGTTGTATAGGAATAAAGTGTTGTTGCTGACACCGTAGTTTGAACACAGATCACTAGTGAGCAAACGTGACGATTCCATTATTAAATAAGTAGATCACATGATCGTAAAGGAAACGTATAAATGGCGTCTAAGTGATCGCTATTCTCTATACTATCCACTATATTGATCATTATATGAATTACTATTTGGCAATTACTATTAGTGCGAGTATTATTTGAAGGTGTTACTACTGCTAGTATCTGCATTTACAAAGCCTTGTCTACAACAAGCATTTTGGAAGAGATAACAAGCATTTGTTGACCTCATGAAGGTTAAAATGTGTGAGAATCTAACATCACAAAAGAAAGTTATGGATTGTGCAAGTCCAGCCAAGATATGGCAGCAATACTTTTTTTTTTTTGTGGGGTCTGATCTGACTCTTGCAATAATAGTGCATGGAAGTGGAAGTCATGTACTTTCAGCTACTTTATGGTGTGTGTTTTGATAAGAAATTTATTTTTTCTTCAAATTATTTTTTTTTTTTAGAGGCAGAGTTTTCTTCACTCACCATTATATAACATCTCATCCTTGTCCCTTCTCCACCATTGCTCTACAGCTGGTCTGGGTTTTTACTGATAAGAACTTTTATGTTGGTCTCAAATTGTAGAAAGCGGAAAAAAAAAAAGAGGGGGTGGGGGGTGCAACTAAACATTTCAAATGTAAGTATCATAAGGCATGTTAATCACCACCCGTAACGCCCTGACCCTGGTATTTTTAACCGAATGACTTTAATGGACGTAAACGTTTATTATAATCAACTTTATTGGCAACTAATTAAGAAATCAAGTAAAGCTTCACGCACACACAATCTAACTTGAGACATTTTTTTTTAAGCAGACATTAATTTCTTTTGCTCCTTATTCAGGTCTACTTAAAATAAAAAAAGTTAAAAAATCTCAAACTTACTGAATCCGTTCTACTGTGTCAGGAATGCCTTTCATAAATTCTTCCAAGGTCTTGAAGCCAAATTTTTGATAAAGAATATCTTCACCTGTTAGGTTCCTGTATTCCTCTGCAATAAATGGTAATCAGATAGGATTAAAATATTTGAAAAATGGAGAAATTATTTTAATATACATTTTAAATATTTCAAAATGTATATTTACACATCATTTTTATTACAGTTTTATGTTTTGTTTAACATCTAAAGACATTTTTTTCAATGAAAAATAAAGTGTAGAAGAAAAAAATCACAATTTTGTAAATAATTAAAAAAAACAAAACAAAATCTTCTACTTGGGAATCTTGAAACAATATCAAATTCTAAATATCTGAACTAGTTTTCCTAGAGAAATACATAACACTTAAATTATACCTGAAAAAAATGCTGCTAACTTTATTACTGACAATTAGACATCCTTTCTGACACAAAGTTAAAGGGAAACTAAAAGTAGCAATTCTTAAAAGGGGCAAATGAAAACTAAGCTTTTGCTTATGATAATATTCAATAGTCTTATTTCCTTTCGTAAGTGGCATCTTTTCTTGGAGTTGGATTTTCTGTGCAAATAGATGGCTTTTGCTATAAACCAAAAGAAGGATCAAAAGAAAATTTTTTAAGTCTATCAGCTGCTCCATCTCATAATAATAAAATCAATTACAAATGTTTGTTTCTGTCTGAACTACTAGAATGAGAGTAGTATGGATACATTCAGGATGAGCAATAATTTAACAACTAACAAAGATGAAGGTATCTCTAAACATAGTGGAATGAGAACACCTACTCCATAAATTGAGTAAAGTATTTAATTTGAAACTACCTAATGGATTGACAGACATCAGAGGACACAATGGACAAAAAGTTATGATTTTAACAAAGACAGACATTATTCCAACTGTAAATAATGGTACAAATGTGTGTGTGTGTGTGTGTGTGTGTGTGTGTGTTTCATAGTAGCCAACATCACAGAAAAGCCAATGTTATGTTTGATAAATATGATGTTTTGTTTTCTCATTACATCCAAAAATCACATTTCCTTGAGAAGAGGACTCCATGGTGATATCCACTGGCATCATTAGTCTTTAAGAAAAAAACCCTGAAAATTTCACACAATTCAGTAAGAGAATTTTACCCAATACAAGGTATAGAGGGTTATTGAATAAGTTGTGCAATATTAACCTTTACCATACTGCAGGCAAAAATTGTTGCTGTAGAATTCTCTCCCTTTGCTGCTCCAGGTCCATTCTGTTTTTGGGTTTTTTTTTTTATTAGTACTCTGATGATGATTTTAAAGGCTTTATTCAAGTGGATATTTTGATAAAGTAGTTGAAAATGATAACCATACTAGTGACAGGGAGGAAAGTGATGATGATCACTAGTGGCTAGTATCATCCATGCCCGACTAATTTTATGGCAGCTACTGGCGGCCATCTATATACCTGATGGTCTTTCTGAAGGTGAATTATTTTGCCTATTTATAAACAACAAAATAACTATTTGTCAATAAGAACATGTCAACGAGACAAATATGATAGTCAGGTGAAAGAAAGAGCAAACAAATGTTAGTGTTTTCTTCTCATATGTAAACACGAGGAAACAAGTCACTTTTTTGACGGAATGAAAGTCTTCTTAGAGATTTTGCTTTTCATTGCATCGCCAGAACTCCACAAGGAGTAAATAAAAGTTAAAGTATGTTGAATTATTTATGTATTTTTTAATGGATTTGTTTTTTATCTTGTGATTTTTTTATTTCACGTTTCAATTTTTTTGTTTTCAACATCAAAACATGCATGCAAAATGTAATGCATTACATCAAAATATTACTCATTCATTCATTTTATTAATGTACAAAAATTAAAATCTATACGCACAATACAAAGAAAGTTATAACAATTTTAAAACAGTCACTGTTCATGTTTTTGTACCCTCAAAAAATGCAGTGGCAGAGGGGAACAATTCTAGAAAGAAATTAGTGTGGTAAAGGTTAATGTGAGAAGATTGATTTACTGCTTTGTTCTTTATAGCTTAACCACCTTTTATTTAAGGCCAGTAAATAATTTTAGATTAAAGAATTCTTTTTTATATTAATGATTTACTGATAAAATTAACCTCTAGTTGGTGGGAAAAGAGATGGATTCATATCTTTCCCAAAGGTATTTGCATGTAAATGAATATAATGAACCAGTCTGCAATTGGAACTGCTCCATTATCCAATTCCAAAATGGCACCCATTTAGGTACTGACCAGACTCAATGTTATTTTAGTGATTATACAAGAACCTGTGTTTCAGCATGATATCCAAGTTGAATATAAGGAGTAAGAAGGAAGTGAAGGTAAGAAGGATAGATAATGATTGAACCTTGACTTAAAGGAGGTCAATATTTTAGTGTTCAAAGAAGCAACCACATGGTAGCCTGTTCCAAAAAGTAACAGTAGCAGCTTGGAGGGGGGGGGCTATCTGAGTGGAAATCTCTCCTTACATTTGAAATACAGAAAAAAAAGAAAAAAAAAAAAAATGAGGCCAAGTCAACTTTATGAACATGAGGAGTCCTAGATATAAAGGTCTCAACTTGTGGAGCTCACATGAACATCTTTCATGGATGAAGAAAAACCTTATATTGGCATGTAAAATTTTTACATTTTATGAAAATATTAACTTTCTTGAAATGTGTCACCCAATTTTCATAACCGACAAAAAAGTGTCAGCTTATATTGAAAGTATATCAAACTGCTATCATAAATGGAGTCATCTATACAACAATATGCATTAATTATTTTTTAAAATATTTCTGAAGGGTATTTTATTGACATCTGAGGGGCAACATTTTTATTTACATTGTTGCCATATTCACAATGTTTCAGCCATTGTATGCCCCAGCCTTCTTCAGGTGACTGGAACTTCAAACCAAACACTTTATTTCGTCCACTGGGGTAGATTGTTCTAGTTGCATGTTCCATGCCTCTTCTGGACATCTCAGTTTCAGTTAATGCCCTTTAATAGCTCAACCCTTCAAGTTTTTGTTCACTTCTACTATGGGCAGGTATTGAACTCACAACAAATGTCATGAATAATGACAACAAAGATGAGGACAACAGTCCAAACAATGTAAATAGTTACAATACCTCCTCTCAGAAATATAGACAGAACATTTTTTATATCTGCATTCAAAAGTGCTAATAATTTTTTGATTGACAGAGATGATGACATGACATTCTACTTAATATTTATTTTTTCATAGAAAGAAAAAGAAAAAACAAAAGCAAGGAATAATATCAGTTGAAGAGCCTTTTGTATTTTGATACTTATATGAAATATGAAATGAAAAATAACAATCAGAAACTGTTAGATGTTCTTTTGCTATCAGGCATGTATCAAAAACTGTCAATGTGATTTCTAAGGATTTTAAATGTTTCAATTCAAATTTTGTTAATTTAAAAATAGTTGCATTTTACTTAATAAATTAGATAATTACACTGAATCTTTCATGTGATCCAAATTCAGTAGACAGCAAAAATAAATTTGAAGTACCTCATTTGATAGTATATAAGACATCCTCTTTCTCCTAAGCATTTACATTCAATATTATGAAGTTAAGCCAGCTACTAATCCTAGAAAAGTCTAGAGTGTCTATGCAAACATCCACTTACAAGATACTGCAACTATTTATGCAAGATTTTGTTTAAGTCATTTTACAGGAAAAAGGACAAGGCAGGAGGATTGAAATGGTATTGAAAAGTCTTATTTTTCAATGTAAAAGTTTAAATTTTTTAATATAATAAGAAATTGTATTCTGGTTAGATTCAGACTCACAACAAGACAAAAGTTCTTGAAATAATTTTTATCATTTCACCCAATGCAAGGCAGTAAATCCACTAAGTGCTGACTGAGTGTAAAAAGAAATCTGAGAAAACATTATTAAGGAGGGAGGCCAACAGAAGACAGAAGATGACTATTGACACTACATTTAAATTTTTGAAAATTAAACTTGACTGAAAAGCATGTAGCCAGGAGAGAAGTTTAAGAAAAGAGACTTAACATAGAACTTATGGTTAGATCTAGCTGCCATTTTAACTGTAAAATGATGAGATCTTGCTGCCTATCTGGTACTGCGCTTAAATTCATAAAGTCTAGGTACCATACAGGAAAGATCATCAGAGCAATTATCATGAAAATATTTATAAAAATGCAAAGGGAAGTCAAGTTATGAAAACGATTAAAAGAACAGTTCCGTTTTGGAGGTGTTAAATTATGAGTTATTTGCTATGAGTCACCAAGACATATCAATCAAATTTGTTCACTATTTACAGAGGATTTCTTAAAAATTAGTTTTCAACAATAAATAATATGCATGTGTGTGCGTGCGCACATGTGCACATATGTGTGTGTGTGTGTGCACATATCCGTGTATGTGCATATATCTGTGTGAGTGTGTGTACATACATGGTGCAGTTTCTGCAGTAAGTAGAATTTCACAAAGTGCCATGTCCAACCAGCTTTAAATTCAGAATGGTCCTTCTCAATTAGATGCTAACCAAGACTAAAGAGCCCAGTCTACCTTGTTACTAACCCCTAGCTGAGGGGAGAGAGAGAGAGAGAGAGAGACTCATACCTTTCCTTGGCTGACTTTAAAATTCAACACATGAATACCCTTTTCTGCACCAATAACCAATATACTATGTGCACATCCATAAATAGTAAATAGGCTTTGATAAAAAGCACAAAGTTATAAAAAAAATTAAACAAACAAATAAATAAAAGATAAAACTTAATTTTTTTAAAAATTTTTTTTCATTGCCTTGGTGCACTGAAATCATTTCTAAATCCTCTTTGCAGTGACTTTTGACCTGCTTACCAAATACTGCAAGAAGATAAACAATTGATTCTCTTGTTTGAAGGATTAATTGCCATGGTGTTAAAGCATTGTGTTTTGTTGGACAATCTGCTGATTCCGGAACTATTCAGTATTACCACTCAATTTATAATCTCAACTATCTGCACATTAAACTCCCAACATATGTTGCATCTTATTTCAGGCCAGACACTTCAACAGAGAATGATAATCTCATTTAATAAA